TATTTAGTAAGTGAATTAGGAAATACTCTTTTAAATTTATAATTATCTAATCGGTCCTATTTCTTCAAAGTTGATTATTCAAAAAAACCTCTTAAAATTATTGGTAGTTTAATTTAATATAATTTACTATGAGAATTTATTTAGCAAGTTAATCTGTAAATACTCTTAAGATGTAAAAATTTATATGCTATTAACGCTATACATAATTGCTTAGGATTGATAATAAAAAATATAAAAATTACAATAGGAAACTACACCGCTGTGGTAAATATAAATATTATATAATTAAAATATTAAGTACGCTTTAGTTATTTCAACATTTTAGTCCCCACGTTTTAAGATAAATTAATGCTCTATTAACGATTACAATTAATATGATATAAATCAATAATTAAAAATAAATTAGAAGAAAAATATGAATAGAAAACAAAGACTATATATTAAGTACTTAGTAAGTAAGTAATATTGAGTCATTTAAATTTTTCATTCTTAAGCTTTCACATTGTAAAAAGAGTGTATAAAAATTGTATATAAAAACAAATACTAGTATATCAAAAGTATAGATCTTTTATGAACCCTTGCCCGCACATTTTTTTCTTCCCTTAGGGTAAGTTATAATAATCGCAAAAAAATTGCAATACATTTTTTTATCCCCTTACGTTTCCAGACCTTCTAAGCACTTTGGAACATCATAGAACAAATCAATTATTTTGTGTGTGTATGGATGGATGTCCGGATACATTTTTTTTCACTTCCTCATTATCAAATATAAAATAAATCCTTTCTACTCACATCATAAACCAAGTACTGTACAAGAACTCCCAAAGCCTCCAATCCCCGATTCGACTTGTGCAATATCGCGATCTCCCTGGCCGTGATCGCGGTCGCTTTTTCGGCGACGGCGACCATTTTTTCGCACTTCGCCGGAAAAGTGGCGACGGTTCCGCACATCTCTGGTATCGTCGTCACCGGCGGCTGTGGCGCCGCCGAAGGTGGCGTACATGGCGCAGTGGCGGCCGCCTGGACGCTCGACTTGAGGTTGTTATTGTTGTTGGCCTGGGCCGCGACTGCCGTCTGCGACAATGGCAGACGATTGTGTTCTGGAAGAAAAGAGGATTGATAAAATTGGTTGTAAGGGATTGATTGATCTAGATAAATGACTGATGGATTTTATTGCATTAGACGTAAATGCAGTGGTCAATTGGTGGTCATGTATAAATATATTTCTAAAATTTTGAAATGATTGATAAAGTAGTTTTTTTAATATAAATTCCCAAAAATCACCTTTTTTTAGGCGATTACACTAGCTGTGCCCCTTAAATATAAAAAAATAGGAAGAATAAAATGAATTAATAAAGGTGATATAAAAATAATAATATAATAGAACAATGGTGCAGTGATGACCAAATTTAAAATTTTTTCACCTAAAGCTCAAAACTTAGGGATATTCTGGTCTTAAATTTTTAAAGAATCGATTTTTGTTTTGACGCTTTTTTTCAAAGTTTAACTGTTCTAGAATATCTATAAAATAGATTCTTCAAAATTTAAATGATTTACGAAGATACAGCTGTTTGACCAGGAAAATGTTCCTCTATTCCAGGAAACGCGTTTTCTTCGAAACTGTTTCTTTCGATAAGATACACACGATTTCTTAACTTCTACTGGAACGATTTACTTGAAATTTCTACAGAGTTTTCTTTATAGCTCATTCCAAAATTCCAAATTTTACTATTTTCAAAAAAAAAATTGGAAAAAATATTTTTCTTTCAGGCAGTCGCTATTTTCTGAAAAAATTAACTTGTCCTCAGTTTTTTTACGATTGCGACATTATATCTAATTAATATATATATATATATATATATATATATATATATATATATATATATTCTTCAGATTGAATGTAAGGTTGAAATCATGAGTATGGCCAGGTGCCAATTGGGACCCTCCAATTCATCACCTTTTAGAATTAAAAGTTTTAATTAATCTGTTTTTATATTCTCGAAACATTAGTTAATAACTTGTAAACAATCAACTCTTGCCTTTTTTTACAGCCATTCAAAAATCGCTATTTTTTTACACATTTTACTACATCTTTTTAAATATTTTTGCATTTTCTATCCAATTTCTCGACTAGTTTCAATATAGATCAAAATTTTAATTAATATTTTTTAATTTTGATTGTAATTGTAAAGAGTGAGTAGTTTTTGGTCAGAATTGCCGATTTACTAATTTTACGTTTTCTCATCGTATGAAGCCATTCTGAATCATTTAACACCAAAATTGGAAAAAGTGTGTGTGTGTTCAATATTCGATTTTTGTCGACGTTTTCTTAAAAACAGCTGCATTGATTTCAAGAAATTACAAGTCTCAAAACTTTTCGTCTATGTTTTCTCCAATTGCTGAATTGTGCCAAAAATATTGAACCCATAATTATTATAGTATAGCAAAAATGTTTGTTTATTAAATTTCGATTAATAATTAACATGAGATGCTCTAACTAATATAAGTCAGTTTTATTCGACTTATATAGAACTTTGTTCAAAACAAATTGTTATATTAGAGAATTTACTAATAAGGAATTGGCGTGTTCAAATTCTGTGAAAGTTGATTTGAATCTTATTCATTCGATTGTCGGAAATGTAGAGAAACCATATAAGAATATATCCGAATTGAATCACGATTTTAATGACATCATTTAAAGAAGAAAACATACCAAATTCGTCTTCGTAATGATTAAATGAACTTGTATTTACTCAATTTGAATTATATAAAATAAAAAATTTAATACAAACATAGATTAAATGAAAAACATTAGCATGATTTTAACATTGAAAAATATTCTTCCAAAAAATTATTTTCCAACCAACAAAACTTTCCAACTCTCATTTTCGAACAGGTCCTTAACAGCAAACAGCTGTCATGAATTTTATTTTATATAACGTTATATTATAATTATGTGAGAACTATAATAGTTTGTATACAACTCATTTTATTTTTATATAACATTACCTTTTGTTATTTTTTACAATCAGAACTTTCTGAGAACGTTCTATTGCTGGTCAAGATATTTTGCATACCTGAGAATAGAAATGTCGAGAACGATTTTACGACTGACAAATATTTTGTAACATATGTTTCACGTAAAGTTAATCCAAAAATCAAATATAATAGAAGCATGTAATGATTTAATTAGTGTGTAATAGGATTTATAGTTTGAAGATGTTTGTGTTTACAGAGTTATGAAAAACTTCAAGCCAAACCAAATTAAACCGAACTATTAAAAATTCTATAGATGTATCAAGTGAATCCGAAACAAGAACAAAGGCTCGAGTTTACGATTTATTTATTAATAACTAATTAATGGCATAAAATTTATAATCTTTTTATCTGTATAAATATGCAATTTAGTTCTAAATTTACATCTTCTCGGGTATCAAAATTTGTTTGTTTTCCAAGTCAAAACAATGTCTATTCAAGCAAAAACTCTTGTGACAGCCAACTGTAAACACTTTTGTAAATCGCGATGGGATTACAATGCCCTCGGATTTTGTTTCAACAATTAACACTTCTAAGCTCGTTCTATTCTATTAATGTTAGAGAAGAAACAAGTTATTTCGCAATTTTAACAAATCTTTATTACCGGGAAAAGGATGATGTCGCTAGATAATAGTATGCAGAGGCAGACCAGGCAAAATACTTCTTAAAAAATCCAGTAAAAAATTTAATAAATTTATTTTAAGGACACCAACGTTTAAATTTAATAGACTAGTCATTGATAATATTATTACATGTAACATTAAATGATATAGCATTTATTACAAATATCATTAGTGCACATATTTGTAGTCATCATCAAGGCAATGTTCTAGTTAAATTATTATAATTATGTATATTGGATATTTTTTATATATTTTTGCTCGGCTTACCAAAGACTACATCAGTTTTGGTTGTTAAAAATAATTTGTATAAAAAATTCAGTTAGGATCAACAAATAATTTGTGCAGGAATGATGTTCCAATCCAAAAACTGTTCTTGAAGGAACATAATATATCCAATATTTGTTTTTTCTGCAAATGTTATTTCAGAAGCATCAAACAATCAATATTGTTTCAGATACACTCTTAAAATAAATTTTAAGCCAGATATGTTATGTGCAAAAAAAAAAACGACCTGTGTAGATGACTTTGTTCTTTTGAAACAATAAAATTAATCAGAAACCAAAATAACAAATGCAAATTTTTATGCCAGATTTGGTAAATTTATAGGTATTTTATTTTGTAAAGTACATCTCTAAAATACTTGTAAATACGAGTAAAAATTTTATTAGAATTTATTAATTTTTTTTTTATCTGCAAAACACAACGTTTGAGCAGGATTCTGTGATCATATTGAAGTCAAATTATTTATATATTAACAAAGAATAATATATTCAATTAAGTGTAATTGTGTTTTCAATATCAAATAAAATTGTAGTGTTTAAAAAGTATGCGTTTATTAAAGTCTTTTTTAGCAAGCATATTCAGATATTAAAAAAAACTAAAGTAAATTATTGTCGGATTATTGGTATCAAATGTGATTAAAGGAAGAAATGTGTAAATAAATTTACCAAAATTTGTATAAATAACTATAATACATAAAATTCTATCAATCTCTACTGAATTATGGTTTCCAGAAAGAATTGCAACAAGATATTTCTATTTCTTCTGAGAATGTTCGTGCGAAGAACAATGATATTTATAAATAAGGCCAAGTGTCCATTATATACGTTCTTAACATTAACAATGAGGGAAACCTAGGTGTTTTGTAAAACATGTTTAGAAGTACAATGCGTGTTAATTTTTAAATTGTCTAGTGTTGATTACTAAATAAATTATGGAGAGAATTTGCGTAAACGCACTCGTTTAAAAATAAATAAAAAGTACATAGTAGAAAACATTAAGTATCCACACATCCAATATTTCTAACAATAAGCTCACTTACGTTTCTATATGTATATATAT